AGGCTCAATGACCATGGAACTTTATTTAGATCTTCAATGAAAGCATCACGATTAAAACGCTTGAAATTCCGGGTATCAATTATCCTCGGGGGAGGCGGTTTCAAACGATGTAATTTACGGACGGCATATGTTGCGGAGTGATCACTAAAGCCAACTGGTATTACCCCGGAGACATATAGATCCGGACGACTGGTAAAAAATAAATCGATCAGGGTCTTTGAATTTTCAGTTATGCGAGTGAAATTGTCAATAATCTGCCGCAGACTAAACTCTTTCGCCATGTTCATAAAGCGCTTCGTAGATGCAGGTTTATTCGACTGTTTCAGGTCGAAATTCAGATCCCCGGTAATGACAATTTCCTTTTCCCGATCAGCCATTACTGTTAACATATTTCTCAAGCCCTCAACGTAAGTTGCAACGTTGTCCGCATTCGGTGGGCGGTAGCAGGAACAGAAAATAAAACCTTTAGATTTTGGAGGTGTTATTTCCATCCAAAGGCATTGAATATCCGGTTGATCATTTTCAAATTCTTGAATAACTTTGTAATTGAGGTTCGAGGAAATGTAAATGAGAACACCACCATTTCGGCGAGTTTTATCTCTTCGTACAAGTGAGTAGCCGGGAAGCTGAATTTCACTGTCACTGATTGATGAATCTAGCCAAGTTTCGTTTAGGGACAGAACGTGCGGTAGGTGGGTCTCACAAAAAACTCGGATCTCATCCATCTTGTTGACAAGACTTCGCACATTCAAATTACAAATTCTTAAGCCTTTTACCGTACTCAACTTGAAGTTTCCACTTTGAGAAGTTGATTTTGGACCAGGGTTTCGCTCAACATTGCCACTGGACAAGAGTAGCGATAAGCATAGGCAATAGGCCAAGGTAGAGGTGGTGTGCTTTGAGAGTTTGACTTTATGGTTGCCCGCCGTATCGACTGCTCGAGCTGCAAACTCATTCAGCGCAGTTTGAGCTATTTTTGCCTTGAAGTCGCTTTTCCAGCGCTCGTTTAATCCTTCCAAAGGTTCTTCACCAAGCAGACTGCCATGTCGAAATATTTTATGCCGGTTTACCGGCAAAATAAAGCAAAGGTGAAATAAGTAAAGAGCTGCCGAGATGCCAACCAACCCTCTTGCCGCCATGTTCGTTAATTTGAGCGCATATGAACCAAAAATCGCAACAATTTTCGCGGTCACTTTTTGATTTGTTCTTGGGTGACTAGAGTTGGAAACGAAATGCTTGGTAAATGCAAATAGAGCAGGGCAATGGACGAGAAGGTGATCGAGCGTTTTGGTGTCATTGCAGTGCGGGCAGTCCATCGTGGAGTAGACGCCTATTCGGACGAGGGACAGGGCCTGTGGGAGGACCCTGTGAACGATTTTCCACGTGATATCGCCGAAATGATTGGGAAGCAGGGGAGTGTGAAGTGATTTCCAAAACGCGGAGGTTTGATGACCACTACACTATCAGGACAACCATGCTGGCAATACGGCAATCGAAGATCTTATTTGCGTGATCGGACACGTGGTCTACCGGGAAATTTAACTTTCAAGCTGACAGGGTAGGGGAAGCCTATAACCCCATATGAAACCCAACTAAGGTTCTATTAAAGATACACGACTGAAGTCAACTTAGCAGATGACAAAGGAGGATCCAATTACGAATACAGGCTAATTTCAATTAAGCAAATTCATACAAGGGAAACCCTGACCCTGTACACCCCAAATAATCATACTTAAATAGAATAAATGTTTGAAAAGAAAATTTGCCCTGGGCGAGATTTGAACCTACGTCCCTCCTGTACTAGTCAGGTGTGATGACCACTACACTATCAGGACAACCATGCTGGCAACCCGGCAATCGAAGATGTGATTTGCGTGATCGGAGACGTGGTCTCCGACATATATATTTATTAAACACTAGATCATTGGATAATGAAATTCAGGACTTTTTATTGGCTTAGCCATTATGGTATATCAGCCAAAATACCATAATCTACAAATATGGCAAGCGTGCGCGTCAGCTTAAAATTAAAAGGGAGCTCAAAATTTAATAAAATTTCATAAAATTTCATAATTTAACTTAATGATTTTAATAAAACAATTATTCCACTCGCGCTTGTTGGATATGAGATGATTAAAGCCAACGAGGCGC